AATTATGTAAAAAAAAAAAATCATGTGTAAATTTTTATTTTTTTTTACGTATTAGTCCGGCCTGTAATCTGGTCCTGAATCCGTCCCTGGTGTTTAGTACAAAAGAACATGATTAGAACAATAAAGTGTAAAGAGAAGTTTTATTTTTTATGAAAATTATTTGATATATTTTGAACCGCATTAATTAATAAGTATCAAACTTGTGACTTTAGATGTCTCCCATGTCAAACATTAAAACCATCAATTTAGTAGTGTAAGCACCATATATATGCATGGCCCCATTACTCTATATACCTTTCCAGACATTACTATGTAATATGTACACTATACACCCAACAATGTCTCCATGATTACAAAACCTGGAAAATTTTAAAAGTGAGAAGAAAATGTACATTTTGATCACAAGATCTGGAAAATCTCAAAAGTAAGAAGAAAATGTACAATTTGATCCCAAGAAGAAATTGGTGGGCAAATGTAGCTATAATGGACATGTATCAATTTTCTTTTCTTCATATTTTATTATAAATATAGATCAAGTTCCATCATTAAGAAGCCCTAAAATTAGTTTTTAATTTATTTTACAATCTGCAGGTCTATAACTTAGGGTGGTTGCTTTTCAGTCTATGGTTAGACAATTATAAGATAACTCTTGGCTATATTCTCTCTTCAATCGACGCTCATATTCTCGTCAGTTACATCTCTCCAACATACAAAATACTTGTTTTGCCATTTGACTTGAATATCAAAGTATCACGATCGTCGCACTCCTAGAGTTACGATCACGAGTAACTTAAAGCGATATCAAAGTGTCAAGTAAGATACACATGAACGGAAGACGAGTCTAAATATATTGATTACGTGATCAGTCGAATTTCAGGGTCAGCCCCAAATATCTTGAACTCCCCTCCGTCCAAAAAAAAAGGGGGAAACGAAATGAAAGGACTTAAAATATGAATAAAGTGGCACAAATGTCAAACCAAAGTAAGCAAAGAACATAATCACGTTGAAGAAGAAAGGAGAGTTGACTGAGATTTCGTTGACCATTAATCAACAACCACGTGGCTTACACCACGGCGTAGAAAAATGTGTTAGTGTTTGGTGTGATGGGACCATCAGGGAAATGCACAAACTTTTGAAATGAATTGAGGGGGCCCTTGATTTTCTTACACATTTTCCCCAAGCCTAAACAAATGAGAAGTACTACATGTACATAAATCTATACATAATAATGTTCATAATTACACGTGATACTGGATCCAACCATTAATTCAAATCTCACGCTTTCACATCAACAACAGAGTTTTGTCCACATCACATTATGAACACTATTATGTATATATATTATGCACATGTAGACTTTTCCTAAATAAATATGGCGCTAAATTGTTCCACACAATTCCTGCCCAAAACTTATGTTTCGCACTATAGTCATATTGGGAATTAAATATGAAAGCTAAGAATTTTAGTAAGATTTCACATAATTTAATAGTGCATGTTTGATGGATATTATTGAGAAAAGAATGAATTTTAAATAGTGATATAATGTGAAATAGAACTATGCTATAAGTACAGGGAAATTTCACAGAATACTCACAAAAATTTGAAATGGATGGTCTAGATTCAAACATGGAGGGAAAACACGGATACACGCACAGGATTTTTCCAATTCAAAATTCTGTACAAAATTTGGCAACATTTCCTGTGCTTAAGGAATTATTCTTGAAAATATGTGATTGAAAAGTAAGGAAAGTTATTGATGTAATGAAAAATATTATTTTATTGAAAAATATGTGGTTGGAAATGAGTTTTAACATAATATATTTTGAAAGAATGTGTATCAAACATGGGCTAAAAGTCACAAATCGCATTCTTGGCCATGGTATTTGCCCAATAGAGAGTCGGCAGCATAACAACTATTATAAGACAATTGATTCAAACAACTCAATGCGTACATAAAATGTTCATTAGCAGTAGATTTCAAGTCACTTTAAAATCGACAAATCA